GACGGAAGTGCTAGCAGCCCGTTGTTCCTTCTGAGCCCTCTCCCCGCAGAGCCAGCAGCAGGAACCAGATCCGAGTCTCTGTCGGCCTGGCTCGCACTGCTCACTGCACCCTGATCACTCCCTGAGACCCCGCCCCGCCCACCTGTGGGCCCACCCAGACCATTTCCAGCGGCCTTGCCACACAAATCGCCTTCTTGGCACATGCTTCAGACTTTCCTGAAATCTCTCAAACAAGCAGCCTCTGGCCTTGGCATGCCCCACACCCCTTGTTAAGTGGCACCAAGCCCGTAGTAGCTGCAGCCAGCCTTGGTTCACAGCTTGACCTCTCCTGGGCACTTCCAAGCCAGCATAAGTAGCAGCCATCTGCAGATTGCTTTGTAGTTCCTGCCAGGTGGCTCTGGGGGAGGCACAGGTGGCAGCTGACCTTGGCCTGCACCTCTCAGGAGGCCCCAGAGCCAGTGTACCCAGTGGATAGCTTCAGGCCACACCAAAACACCACCCAACCACCTCCACATGTGGCACACTCAAGGGGCGGACTCAGTGGGCACCAGAGCCCCACTGAAATAAGTCTTGCTCTGTGGGATGGGCCCACGGGGTCTCAGCCAGTCTTCACAGCTAACCAGCCTGGTGGTGAATCTCTCCATGACCATGCCAACAGAATCGAGGCTCAATGACAACAGAGACTGTGCCCAGCCTACATGGGGAGCGCAGCTGGGGTGCCCACTCAGGTGATCTGAGAGGCTGTGCCGCCGGATGCTGCAGGACACCTACTACATACGGCCTACTACCAAGCCCTGGGGGTGTAGCAGCTCTACCTAATACATAGAAACAAACACAGGGAGTCAGCAAACATGAGGAGACAAAGAAATATGTCCCAAATGAAAGAACAGGACAAAACTCCAGAAAAAGAACTAAACAAAATGAAAACTAACAATCCACCAGTTGCAGAATTCAAAACACTGGTTATAAGGATGCTCAGTGAACTTAGGGGAAGAGTAGATGAACTCAGTGAGAACTTCAACAAAGAGATAGGAAACATAAGAATGGAGATAGAAAACATAAAAAAGGTCCAGTCAGAAATGAAGAATACATGAACTGAAATGAAGAATACATTACAGGAAATCGACAGTGGAGTAGATGAAGCAGAGGATCAAATCAGATATTTGGAAGATAAGGAAGCAGAAAACACCAAATCAGAACAGTGAAAAAATACTCCAAAAAAATAAGGATAGTTTAGGGAGTCTCTGGGACAACTTCAAGTGTGCCAACATTCTCATCATGGGAGTGATGGGAGGAGAAGAGAAAGAGAGCCAGGAGTTGAAAACCTAAGTGAAAAAGTAATAATGGCAACCTTCTCTAACCTGGTGAAGAAAACAGACAAACAAATGCAGGAAGTGCAGAGAGTCCCAAACAAGATGAACCCAAAGAGACCCATACCAAAACATCATAGTTAAAATGCCAAAGGTTAACGACAAAAAGAGAATCTTAAAGGCAGCAAGAGAAAAGCATTTAGTTACCTACAGGGGAGTGCCCATAAGACTGTCAGCTGACTTCTGAGCAGAAATTTTGCAGGCCAGAAGGGAGTGGCATGAAATATTCAAAGCGATGAAAAGCAACTAAAATTACTCTACCCAGCAAAGCTATCATTTAGAATTGAAGTACAGGTAAAGAGCTTTCCAGAAAATAAAAAGCTAAGGGAGTCCCTCACCACCAAACCAGTGTTACAAGAAATGTTAAAGGATCTTCTTTAAGAAGAGGATAAAGAAAAAAGTAAAGAAATATGAATAATATACAGCAATTAATATATATAGATATCAATAATTGCTTTACATGCAAATGGATTAACTGCTCCAATCAAAAACCATATGGTGGCTGGATGGATAACAAAACAAGAGCAAGCTACTCCCTTCAGATCAAAAGATACACAGACTGAAAGTAAAGGGGTGGAAAATATATTTTATGAAAATGTAAACAAACAAACAAAAAGCTGGGCTAGCGATATTATACCAGATAAGATAGACTTTCAAATACAGGTTATGTAACAGAAGACGAAGAAGGACCCAGCAATTCCACTTCTGAGTATTTATCTGAGGAACCCAACGCGCCAAATCTAAAAGACGTATACGTGTGTTCACTGCAGCATTTTTACAGTAGCCAGATATGGAAACAGACTAAATGTCCATCATTAGATAAATGGATAAAGAGTAAGTGTTATGTACATAAAATGGATTATGACTCAGCCATTAAAGAGAATGAAATTTTGCCTTCTGCAGCATGAATGGACCTAGAGGGTATTGTGCTGAATGAAATAAGTCAGACGGAGAAAGATAAATGCCATATGATTTTACTTACATGAATAATCTAAAAAACATAATAAACAAACAAGCAGAACAGATGTAGACTCATAGATTCAGAGACCTTCGGATGGGCAGGAGGTTGAGACGATAGTGGAAAAGGTGAAGGCATTAAGTAGAAATTGATAGTTACAGGTTAGTCACAGGATGTCAAGTACAGCATAGGGAATACAGCCAACAATATTGTAATTGCATGACGTCAGATGGATACTAGAATATTGGGGTGATCACTTAGTAAGTTATGTAATGCCTAATCACTGGGTTGGACACCTGAAACTAATATAATATTGTTTGTCAACTGTAATTGAAAAATAACAAATTATTTAAAGGAAAAAAAAGTGACCTCACCAGGGAAAGGGAGGTCATCTTCACTGGCTTCACAGGCTGAGTGCTCTAGGGATCCACCATTCTGGGGTGCCGCAGGCTGTTGGAGGGCCTGGGGTTCACCCTGTGTAGGAAAGACTGGATGTGTTTGCATCTTTTCATATGACTTCACTAAATGGTAAGAGGCAACTTTCAGTCTGCAGAACACCCAGTGATCACATGGGATTCACTGGGATTGCCATGGACCCAGAGGTGGGGTCTGTGCATCTAGGTAAAGGTGAATGCAAGTGTATAAGTGATCCTGGTTATCTGGTATTCCTTCTCCATAAAGCATTTGCTCATCTATTGATCTAGTCAACAAATATCTAAAGGGCATTGTACAATGTTCCAGGTCCTGTGCCTGGGATGGGGCTCTATCATTGAGTCAGACTCAATCCCCACCTTGTGGAGCTTATCATCTCGTCAGACAGGAATCAAGGAGGAGCTGGTACAGTTAAGGCAAATCCCATAGGACTTTGTAGGGCTTGGGGTGGCTTGCTCACCCAGTGCTGTCTGCCTGAGGATGGAGGGCAGAGGTAGGAGCTCCCAAGGGCAAAGTTAAGGTGGTAAGTCCCAAACCAGTTCAAGGAAACAAGGGACTCTTCAGATAAGAGAAGTCCCGTCACAGAGCCCGAGCAGGACGTCTTGGGTGCGGGGCATGGGGGAAGGTGTACAATCGAAAAGGAAGTGCAGGAGTGAGGGAAGGGACGGGGCGTGGCTTCTGCCCCCGGCTGCGTGGAGTCAGGCTGGGGAAAGTTCACCGCAGCAGTTCGTAAGAGGAAAATTTGACAGGAGAGAAATATACCTTTATTATCTATTAACAGGAATAAATAAGTAAATTATGATGTTCTCAATTAATAAAATTTTTAGCAGAGAAAACTAATAAACCAGAGCTACACATGTCCATGTAGAAGAATCACATAAACAGTGCTGAATGAAACACAGCAAGTAGCAGAAGTAAATACTTATTTTATGACATCATTTGTATAAAGTTTGAAAACATGAAAGACAATTCTGTGTATTATTCAGGGATACATATATAGTAAAAGGACAAAGTCATTCGTTGGAATGATAAAGTCTAAATTGCAGATTCTGGTGACTTGTGGGGGTGGAGAAGGAGAAGGGCGTTGTCCCGGGGAGGCTCGTGGTGGGCGGGGGCTGCAGCCGTCCTGGGAATGCCTGTTTCCTAGTCTAGGCGGTAGATGCATGGCTTCTCATCGTATTAGTATTTATACCTTTTTAAATATGTCTCAAGTATGACATAATAAAGTTTATTTGAAAAGCAGGAGTAAAGCAAATAACGTGGATTAGGAAAGGAGGGTCTACTTTCTACCCTCCCCACTGCCTCTAGTCAGTTGGGTATCGAACTTGGATGTCTTCCAAAGCTTTGCTCTGATGCGCAAAATGAGATGGTCCTCATAGACCCACCACTGGCCTGGCAAGCTCCCTGTCCATCCCCTTCAGCCCTTCCCTGGTGCAATGCAATGGCTTTGAAGAATGAGGTGAGACGTAAGCACTCCTAAGTACTCTTAAGTTCGTTGACTTTCTGCCTACAGGGAAAAGCTGTCTCGTGGCCAAAGGAGCTAGAGTCCCATCACTGCTCAGTGGTGCTGCCTTCTCCTTGGTTTCACCAGTGCATCTGGCCAATGTCACCCTACCCTCCAGTTGTCCACTGATGTCTCTGCCCCTCCACATTCTTTTCCTGAGACCTCCTCCACTGCATTGCTTTTTCATCTCCATAATGGTCCCAGGATTAAAAGTGTTTACTTGTGCTCACTGCACACGGCATGACTTCACCTTTGGGGTCCTGGTGCCCAGGATCCCCCACCATCCCTGGAATTTCCTGTCCACAGCTTCTCCCTGACTTGCACCTTTCTGCCCCCGCCCCCGCCACCATTGCCACAGCTGCATATACTGCTGAGGTGCTCCCACCCCCCTGCCCCACCGAAGTAGGGAAAAGGTACGTCAACTGTGCTTGCTCTTCATTCAAACAAGGCATACGCTGCTGTGTCTCTACAGATGAGACCACGGAGGCCCAAGTAAATACCTTGCTGAAAGTCACAGCTCATAAGGGGCAGGTCTGAGATTCCAGACTGTGTCCCTCTGACCCCAAAGCCCATGCAAACTCTTTCTTTTACATTTACCACCTCTGGAGCATTGATTGGAAAGTTCCCAAAGAGGGTTTCAACTTTTCCACTTTGATCCAATCGTGCCCGGACTGCTTCCAGGAAACATTCTTTAACTTGGTTGGTTATACTCTTTCCTTCATTAACTTCTTTTCAGGATGCTTTTCACCTGGGCAAGAGAAGTGGTAGAGGGTCTGAGTGGACTGTCTCCCTTCCGTGTTTCTCAGCGCGTGATCCTCCCCCTCACAGGATCCTCCCGGTCTCTGGTTCCCGGCTGCATCATGGGAAGATCCCGGACCACTCCTAATGTCTGCCACTCCAGTCTGCAGGCCCTGGCCCCAACCCCGGGACCTGCCTCATGCAGGTACCAGCTCTGTCCTCACCTGCCAGAGACCAAGGGGAATGGTATGAGGCCACTTCGGTTCGACCCACTCAGCCCCTCCTGCTTTACCTAAGTTGCTCCCCCTGGATATGGGCTGTCAGGTCTTCATAAGGTCTCTGAACAGACCTCTGAGTTGTGTGAAAAGAAACTCAGGCACAAAGAGGTTAAGATGCTATGTCTGGTCCTTTGAGCAAGGGCTACATGAGTAGTTATCCGAGTTAGCATCCCAACATGTTTAGGGTAGAACATTTCAGGGTGGAGTCATCTTCAAGTCTGACCTCAGTGGGGAGAACTGAGAAGCCGGTTGGGAAGTACCAGGTGGGCCAGTTCAGCAACTCAGGACCCTGGATCCCAGTCCAATGCTGACCTATCACCCAACTGCCTTTTCTTCTTGAAGAAAATATAGGCTGTATCCTTCCCTTTGCCCTAGGGATGGGGGATCAGCCAGCCCCTCCTAGTGGAGTCTGAAGGCTTTCTCCTAGAGCCTCCCCAAACCCACAGCCAGAGGTGGGCACAGATCAGAAGTAAGCATCAGAAGAGGCTGGGTTAGGGTGGACAAGACCTCCGCCTATCTGGAGAATGTGTGCTGTCTCCGGGTGAGACCCCAGTGTTGCAGCCAGAATAGGGAGTGTGTATGTGGGAAGCAGGGCATCGCTCAAGGTCTGGAGGAGGTTGTCCGAATTTGGGGGTGGTGTGTGTTAGTCCACCTTAAGAACTCATTTTTCTGCCCAGCTGGCGTGGCTCAGTGGTTGAGCATTGACCCATGCACCAAGAGGTCCCTGGTTTGATTCCCTGTCACGCATATGCCCAGGTTGTGGGCCTGATCCCCCAGTTAGGGCCATGCAGGAGGCAGCCAATCAATGTTCTCTCTCATTGATGTTTCTCTCTCTCTCTCTCTCTCTCCCTCTCCCTTCTTCTCTCTCTAAAAAATCAATAAAGAAAACAAAAACAAACTCATTTTCCTTCATGGCTTGAGTCATTCCATAAAGAAACAAAATGCAGACTCCTCCAAGGCATGAGCTGGGTTGAGCTGTGCGAGGGGGTCCTTCTGATGGAGGGAAGCTGGACACTTGGAAGGTGCAGCTCTGCCCTCTTGAGTGTCTCTTGCCCCTATATCACATGGGCGTGGCTGTCAGAAGGCCTGGTTCAGATTCCGGTGTGCTTCCTCTTGTACCCTGCAGCCTCCCACCCATCAGAACACCAGATCTGCAACTGATCTCCTGAATGGTCTTCGACAAGTCACTTCACTCGGAAATAGAATGGGCACTGTGCTTTTCAACCGCTCCCTCGTCCTAGAGGACATTGGGAAATGTGCTGTTGCTGGGTTTATTCCCAGGGGAGATGCTAAGTCTTCTCCCCATGCCAGAGAGCCTCCCACAAAGAGGAATTGTTTCCCCTGATATGCTAGCAGTACCCTCAATGAGAAGACCCATCAGCTGCGATCTTGTCTGTCAGGCATAGCCCTGTGACATAATACCTGTGCCAGCCGTGTGATACAGCTCTGGTCAGAGGCTGAGTTGTGAGGTTAGCAAGTTGGGGACATTGACCTGGAGGAGCCAGGAGAGCCGGGAGTGGGCTGACCTGGGAGCTGCTTGGTGTTAAGGGCTGAATAGCCTGTTACAGCAGCCATGCCTTCTGGGCTTTCTAAAACTGAGCATTAAAGAGTGATGTGGGTGGATTACCCTGGAGCTGGGAGGTAGAGGCAGGTGGAACCACGGGGATGCTGGGAAAAAGGCAAGTAGGTCTGAGAGCTGTGAGATTGGAGTGCAGTGAGGGGATGAAACAGTCATTGAAGAGAGTGATTCGCTGTGATCAGCTCTGTAGCAAATGGGGTCTGGGGGCCTGGGGCTCAGCAGGGAGTCGGGGGAGGCATATCTTCAGGTGCAGAATCAATACTGCATCTGTCCCTTTTAAATTCAACTCCTTCTTCTAATAAGCCAAGTGGAGCTGGGGTGTAGGGGCTTGTCAGTCTGAAAGAGCCTTTGGCTCATCCATTTCCATAGCAAAGGCAGGTAGTTTAAGGGAATCAGATCATTACTAAGCCCCGAGAGACCCAGGGCTCTTTCTAACAGCTGTATACCTGGCTGTCACCTTGCTCTTTACAAAGCCCTTGGGATTGAGTGGAGGAGTTACTAATAAGACATTGCATTGTTGCTCACTATTTGGCATAATCATAAATGTCACAGTGTACCCTCTGTGAGGGCAGGCATGGTGGCTGCCCCTTTTGTCACTGGATTCAGCACCAAGGACAGAGCCTTCATAATTATTGGTTGACTACATGAATGACTGCCTGCGTACTATGAAAATGGACTGTGGGGAGAAAGAGAAGCGTATCTCTTTATACTCCTGCCTTCAAAACATTCTTCCTGTTGTAGGAGACAAGGCACGGAGTAGCAGAGGAGCCCAGGTTTGAGGTTAAGCTGTCCAGTTCAACCCAGTTCAACCACTTTACCATTTGTGACCTGGCCTGATGGCTTAACTTTTCTAAGCCTCATGTCAAAAATGTAGCAGTAATGATGGTGGAAAAGGATGTAGTGAGATAATCCACGAAGTGCTCAGCACAGGGCCAGGTGTACAGCAAGTGCTCAGTAAGGGGAAGCTGTTGAGGGCACGGCCAGTGTGTGGCCGGGTGTGTTCCTGCAGGGAGCTGGTGACAAGCTGGATCAAGGACACCCCAGCATTTGTTCAGGGGATGACCTGAACAGCGTTTTCAGGAGTCCACGGAAAAAGGAGCAAGGAGATGGAAAGTGCAATGAGCTTTTCACTAAACTGAGCTTATTCCATTTAAAGGACAATCCTTTTGTATGATATATTCTTCCTTATTACTTATCTTGGCCTTAAAGTACCATTGTTTTGTGCCATGATGATGAGATTAGAAGGCAGGCTTTAAAAATGTATCCCCACCTGGTAAAATAAAAGTTTGTGGACCGATGCTGGTCCATCAAAAAATACCTGTACATGAAATCCCCATACCTACAGACCATCAGTCTTGCTGACTCTGAGTTCTCATCTCTAGGAGGTGGAGTGGAGGGAGAGTGCTGGGAAGGGCAGAGGGGGCTGAGGCCTCTGTTGGTCTGACCTCAAAAAGGCTTCCCAGGGGAGCAAGAAGGACTTGCCCATGGCATTTAAACATGGCAGGATTTGGGTTGGCAGAATGAAGTGTGTGGTCATTCTTGGTGCAGGATACAACTTGAGCAAAGGCCTGGGGGTAGACATGAGCCAGGTGTGATGAGGGGTTGAATTGGAGATGTTGGGTCATGGGGAAGTAAATGATGGTCAGAAAGCCATTGGGGTTTTTAAGCAGGGGCAGGCCATTCTGAGAGTGGGACTAAGAATGGAAGACAGCTAAGTAATTGAGCTCCTAAGATTATCTCGCATACTCAGTACTGCCCTAGAACTAGTCTCCCCAATTATATAGAAGAATGTGAAGCTTAGAGTGATCAAACAAGGCGTCAGGGGTCATATAACTAGTAAGTGGCAGAACCAAGAATATAACAGGTGTTCAGATTTAAGACATTTTGAGAACTGGGGGTTCAGTGTAGGTGGAAGGAGATATGGCAAATCCTGATGAGTGAAGAGCTGGGGCGTGAGGGCTGGGAGTGGGAACTCAAGTTGGAGCTCCCTCATGCTGCATTTTCTTCCTTTGGGAAAGACTTTGATGCAGCGGGTCCCGGGTGCCATCCTTAGCACGTGCTTAATGATTCCTCTGTGGTGGAGAGAGAACATGTCTTGTTTATGCTGCTTCCATCATTTACAGGGAATGTGTGCATACAATACCCAGCAGCGCCTGCGTAAACATTTAATACCCAGTAGATCCCATTTCCCTATTATGATAGCTGGGTATTGGTTCACAAACTTTATTGTGTGTCAGTAAATATCTCCCACCCCCAGGTTCTGATTTAGTAGGACTGGGGTGCCTGGAGGAAAGTCAGATTTTTAACAAGCACTTAAGGGGCTTCAGTGCAATTGGTCCCTGGACCACACGTAGAGAAGCTTTGCTTCGGAAGGTATGTACCTCCTCCTGGGTTCTATATGCCAGCAGTTCAGGTCGATGCCTCCAGAGGATGCTAGGCAAAGACTCCCTTAGGTACAGGAGACTGAGACAATTCTTGGGCCCTTTGTAAAGGGCCGGGGCGGAGTATCACTCTGGGGCCGGGTGTCCACTGGGCAGGGACTAAAGAGAATGGGATTCTTCCAATTGATTCTAAATAAAAACCTATAAAAACGGTAAGCCAGACTCATCCCCCACGGCCACCATCAAAGAGCAGGTGTGTAGTTCACTGAGCCCTGGCAGGACCACAAAGGGCCTGCTTTGTTGCTAATGATATTGGGTAGGACTGTTCCCACGGCCACAGTTTGGTTCCTGTATCTAAAAATGAAGGGATTGGAGTTGGTGGGCCCTGAAGTGCTCAGGGTCCCTGATGCATTTGCTAATTCTCAAGGTCTCTTTCTAATTCCCATGAGACAAGACCCCCCCACTGCTAATTTGGAGGGGGTTGCCTATTATTCCCTTACCAGGTACCTTTCAGCCCAATGTCCTTATGTGGGCCTAGCCTGGGTCATCACTTTCACCGAGGGTGAGAATAAAGTGATTTGGCGAAGGTCATCCAGTTAGAGAGAGGAGCTGACCATTGTGGTCTCTGGAGCCAGCTTGCCAACGCTGAGTTTGTTCCGTTTTGGGGTTATTGGCAAGGATGTTTCTGGAGGGTTTTGTGTTAAGCGCTGGACTGCTGTCGCATGTGGCTGAGGAGTCACGGTGCACACTGCGTAACTCGGGGGGCGCAATCAACATTGCAGTCTGTGTGAATGCAACCCCCTGGGGTTCTGTGTTAAACATCCTGAGTGGTCACATGTGATGTCCCGGCTCTGTGTATCATCGTTGTGGGTATTTCTCTTTCCTTTTAAGTGTCTGTTAATGGTCCCTTTTAGGGGGGCCATCTTTGCATATTGCAGAAAGCCAGGTGGTTAGCTCTTGAATAAAG